CTTCTGATTCTTCTTCATCTTCGTCGTTGCTTTTCGATCTATAGGGAGCGAGGTCCGAAAGTTGGCGTAGACATAAGTATTCTTAGATTCGCGTGATAACCCTAGGTAGATGGATATGCGTTCACATGCGTGTGGGTGATTTTTTGGGAGCAGAGTAGGCGAAGAATGAGAGGAGGAAATTGGAGGTCTTTTAGTAGTTCCTTGGATCTTAGGTATAATCATCATGTTTAATAGTTATGCTTTAAAATCGGGAAAATGAACCGGTATTTAGCAATAACATTTCGGAATCGTACGAATTCTAAAACGATAGTCGATCTTTCGAAGCTCAAATTGCTTTAACGCAATCCATCTTAATTACATAATTTCAATATTTATCCTACAATAAACTCCAAAATTTTGATTAAAAAATTTTGCTCGGACAGCGCGTCATTTTTCACATGTTATTTCTTATTCTACCGGTGCCGTGCACTATCCTGGCCAGATAAAACTTCTTGACTAATCGTTTTACTCAATTTAAAATAGCCATCTCTAATCATAGGCATTTGTTGGAGTTTACATGAAAGTTTGGGAGGTGAAATAATTATCTTTATGTAGAATTCCAGTAATAAGAGCTAAAAGGATAAAGTTCGTTGAGAATGTCTTATGCAATAATATTATAACAATAGATTCATTGGTTTATTTATAGATTTATAGATTTATTATATAATATCATTATTATGAAGGAGAAAGATCATATAATTTTCTATAAATTTGAATTTTAACTTATATCATCTACACAATTCCTGAATTTACCCGACATTATTATTATTATTATTATTATTATTATTATTATTATTATTAAACTAAATTACACAAATTATAAACAAATTGATTAATTAAATCAGGCTTAAATTATAAAATAATAAATATGATTTGCATGTCAGAAGAGTTTGCTTTATTGGTATAATTTAAATTTGCAAGAGGCAAAAAAAATCAGAGATGACTAAATTTAATAATTGCATCAGGAATACAATTTTACTGTTGGTAGAATTAATTTCAAAATTATATTCAAAACGTCTTTTACGAATGCATCAAGTTAAAATTAAAGAAAAAAAAATGAAAGGAATATAAAGTAATTTAGGATACACAATAAGAAAACATCTACTATGTTGTTTTATAAATTATTGCATATATTTATATATATATATATATATATATATATATATATATATATATATATATATATACGTAACTCTACAGTAATTTCATAATAAACGCACCTATTTTTTCAATCGCGTTAGATACAAAATATCCTTTGACAAGAACATACGTTTAATAATAACACTTTGTAGTAATACAATTTATGATATCAAATGACGAAGGATATTTTATAATCAAATTTTTAAAATGGATATTTAGTGAAGAAATCATGAAATCATACGATATTCTATTTAACCATGCATCTATATATACGAACTCTCGACGATTCAACTATTTGGCCGGTTGAGTCAGCCAAGAACAAAGGAGAGCCATCCTCCGAAACAAAGGATCCGCGAAATCGAGATACCGGAGGATCTCAACGAAGAGAGAGAGAGAGAGAGAGAGAGAGAGAGAGAGAGAGAGAAAAGAAAAAGAGAGCGGTCGAGTGCTGTGTAGATATGCGCTGGCCGATCGTCTATACTGAGAGTGGGAGGGGTGGCGATATAGAAATTTCGTCACGATTCCGCGAATTCATCGCATATCCGCGCATCCTCTCGATCTCTCCTTATACACAGTTAATACATCTGTGAGACTCTGTTTCACCCCGGGTGGTTTGTTCATTCGTGACGACAAGCGCAAGCGGCGCGACTGCAGTGACGATTATTTACATAGGACGATTAAAATCGAGAATATCGCGAAAGCGCTTATCAAAACGAATTGGAGGATGGAATGCGACCGCTATTTAAGCATATCATGCATATATGAATGAGAAGAGGAGAAAGAGAAGTGATAATTAAGATTGTGGCTGTGAGAATATGAGCATGTATATTTATAGGAGCTTTTTTTTTATGGGGAAAAGAACGTTGAATTGGTCACAAGTGAAATGTATCGAGGTAACGTTCCTGATCTTTCTTTATTATTATATATTGGGATCTTGAATGATCGATAGACTTTAGTCACTTTTCCCAAAGTAAAAAACAATACTTTTGTTTTTAACCTTGCAAAAATCAAAAAATAAAAATAAAATAATATTAATAAAAAAAAAAAAAAAAAAAAAAAAAATGCTTAACACGCGAAGATCTATAAAGAGCTTTATAGAGGGTATAGGGTGAGTAGGTTTGTTAGTTCATAATCAACGTTTTTAATGATCCGGATCACTATAAAGTCAAACAAAATTGACTGACCCTGCTTTACCATTTTTTATACCAATAAAATAATAATTTTCTAATCAATTTATAATTCGATAAATTGATCGAGTATTCAAATATTTGTTAATAATTTCATTCCCAATGATCGCACTTGATCGATCGACATTTTAACGTACTGTTTGCGCAATGAAATTCAAAGCGAATAAGCAAACAAATAACTCAACGCCAAAATCAGTGCTACCAGGCATGCACACAAAGCTAAGATGGTTGTTTGTCTTCACTCGACAGCCACATGCATTTTATCCATGAAACGCTGGTATATCCAAGCTCAAAGTAGAAAATACATCGGAATTAGTAAATGAACATGTAAATAAGCCGACATAGCGTGAGGAGCATGAGCGGACACTTGGGACTGTTTCCAAAACAGCACCTTAAATTTCCAAAAATATTTAGTACACAGGGATAAATGGTCGTGAAACGAGAAGCCCATTATGCTATTATATGCGCGGAACCCAAAAATGAATGAAGATAAGACTGGTTGTCCAGAAGGAAGAGAAAGAGGAGGGAAAAAACGAAGGGAAAAGAAGGCGGCCTCGTCAAGGCAGTTGAGCGCGGCAGGCAGGAACAGAGAAGAGAAACGATCGTTCGCCGGTATATCGGCATCGGGCCCACCTTTTTCTCCCTTTCTACGAAATTTTTCAAGTTCAACGAGGCAGCAGCAGCAGCAGCAGCAGCAGCAGCAGCAGCAACAGCAGCAGCAGCAGCAGCAGCAGCAGCAGCAGCAGCAGCAGCAGCAGCAGCAGCAGCAGCAGCAGCAGCAGCAGCAGCAGCAGCAGCAGCAGCAGCAGCAGCAGCAGCAGCAGCAGCAGCAGCAGCAGCAGCAGCAGCAGCAGCAGCAGCAGCAGCAGCAGCAGCAGCAGCAGCAGCAGCAGCAGCAGCAGCAGCAGCAGCAGCAGCAGCAGCAGCAGCAGCAGCAGCAGCAGCAGCAGCAGCAGCAGCAGCAGCAGCAGCAGCAGCAGCAGCAGCAGCAGCAGCAGCAGCAGCAGCAGCAGCAGCAGCAGCAGCAGCAGCAGCAGCAGCAGCAGCAGCAGCAGCAGCAGCAGCAGCAGCAGCAGCAGCAGCAGCAGCAGCAGCAGCAGCAGCAGCAGCAGCAGCAGCAGCAGCAGCAGCAGCAGCAGCAGCAGCAGCAGCAGCAGCAGCAGCAGCAGCAGCAGCAGCAGCAGCAGCAGCAGCAGCAGCAGCAGCAGCAGCAGCAGCAGCAGCAGCAGCAGCAGCAGCAGCGGTGGTAATGGTGGCGGCAGTGGCGGCGGCGGCGGCGGCGGTGGCGTCGGCATCATCATGTCAGTGCCTCTTCTTTACGTCCTTATCTCTGGCGATTTCTTCCTCTTCCACTTGCCGCGCGCCACCAAAGTCCATTTTCTTGTCCGAAAATGAGTTTATGCTCTCACCGGCTCTCTGGGGGGGGGGAGTCGCCACCGCCAACTGCAACGCCCGCGCGGCACGGGCCCCTACCACCATCACTACCACCATCATCACCACTACCATCGCCACCACCACCACCATCATCATCAGCATCAGCATCACCACCACTACCATCGCCGTGTCTTTCAAATGCGCAACTGATGACTCACTACCAAATCGCTGTGTGGGAATGGGCCCTGGCCGTGGGGACATGGCAGCTTACCCATGGAAATAGCTGCGTGGAAAATCGCTCGGCCCAGTAGGATCGACTCTCCAACTCCTTTCACCCGTCTTCCGACCGGACTCTTGTCGCGCGCTCCAACCTCCCATTGCCGAAACACACATTTTCCGTAAAATCGAGCCTGCGACGGCGCGCGCTCTCCTTTCATCTTACTTATCCATCCTGGCAGCTATCCTTACCCTGGTCAGCTCGATGATTCCCCTCCCCTCACCATCCCACCCAGTCGCACGCAGCGCGGCCCTACAGGTAAACGGGCCCTGTATTCGAATACTTTTTCTCCCTGAGGCCGTAACTAGCCGGCCAGTCGTGGCGGAATAAGTCAAGTATTCACGAAAAATGGGATTTTAAGCGGTCGATTCAATTACTAGCTACGCCGGAAATATCGGCACTGGCCGTTTTTGCACAGGTCGAGCGGCACACGCGAGCGCGACGATTTCCAGCGGTACGGACGAATCTTTATTTAAGCCGAGCCACCACCCCCCGTCGGAAATTCCCTACATACGTAAGATACTGATTGGGCCAACACTATAAATATAAAGTGTCTGGAGAAGGTGGATTGGAAATGTTGCCGAATCACGTAATTACTCTAAAAAGAACGAGAGCAAGACCACCCGAAGAAAATAAGGTGCCAAGCGCCGGGTCTCCTTACCTGGGACGTGCATAAAAACAGGTGAGAGGATCGAGAGCGGATGCGAGAAACAGGGAACAGGAATCCAGCGTTTTTCAAGAAGTTTTTCGGGAAAAAGAAAAGGAAGAAGAGGATAGCGCGCGAC